AATTATTTAAATGGCAAAAATAATTGCACTAAATAGTAGTATGAAAATTTATTTTTAAATTATGTTTTAATGAGGAATATTGTGGAGTGAAATTTCAACCCGTATTTATCTCTACACATTTTCACTTTGAATAATAATAATAATACTAGTAAAGTATATTTTTAGTAGATTTATTTTATTTTAAAAAAAATTTTTAAATAAAAATTTTAAATAAAAATTTAATATACTATATAAATGATAATTAAAAAATATAAGTTAGGGATGTGTTTGTTTTTTTTAAAGACAATGATTAATACAATTGCGGTTGAATATACTCCACGATACATGAAATATTATTATTATTATTTTCAATTTCATATTTAAAGCAGGAAAACTTTTAAAAGATAAATTTTAATATGTATGTTGATAAATATTGATGAATATATTAAATTGAAAAGTATAATAATTATTTTTTTTAAATTCCTCTTTTTTATTTGTTGAATAAATAACTGTATTCTGCCTTTTTGCTCGGGATTGTTCTAAGAATGGGAGTGGCAATGGATAAGATCTTCAAGGAGGAGGTAAATTCCAACTTCCTTTTCTTGGTTTTGATGTCCGTTAAATTTTCAAAACTAACATTATTAAATTCCTCTTTTCTTTGATTAGTAAATTTATAAACTAACATTATTTAGTTTGTAGTTAGGTGATGTATAGGAAGTGTAAGAAGCGCAAATACCCTAAATCCTGCTAAATAGCCCAGAGGAAAGTCTTCTCTTCACGTAATGCCTTCCTATTTTTGATGGCTTTCTATTAATAAGGTGACCTATATTCTTTAATCTGATCAATATCTTTTTTTATGCTTAAAGATGACCCCTTTTTTTTTTTTTTTTTTTTTTCTGTGCAGAAGTTGAGGGATGATTTCAACAATGCATTAAAGGAAGCAAATGCAAATGCACAGGCTGACAAAGAGGTAGACAAGTTTCTAACTGTGTGAATATGCTTTGTTGCTCTGTCAGAGCTGCGGAGCATTAACATGGGAGGGAAAGTGAATGGTGCTTTACAATTTTGCTCAGTGAGGTTGGGTCAGTTGAAAAGCTACTTGGGTGATAGTCGTTTTGATAAGAATTCTTGTTCGTGGATGTCTGGATTAAATGTAATTGATCCAGTCAGGTGGAGAGAGGTAGGCCTTTCTGAAACTTACCGAGGGTTTGTAAGAGAGGTCAGTAACTGTTTATTCAGCCTAATGTGTACTTCTTGGTGTAATTATAGATGCAGCTGTTCATTTAGTGTTTATTCTCCCTAATGTGATCTTCTTGGGGCAATTATATATGAAGCTGTTCTTAACTGGTTGAGTAAAGAAATGAAGTTTAAACCAGAAGAAGAATAAAAGGAAGATGTGGTAGAGAACGTGTATATAAGCACTAGGAATTCAAAAAGGATTAGCCCAACTCCCCGCCCAGCCGCGGCCAAGCACTAGGAATTGTCAGTGCTATTGTTGGTGGCTAGTGATCTTTATTGATGATTCCTAGTGTTTACACCTAAAATAAACCAATGAGAGAACGTCACGTGTCAAGGTGAAGCCTAATTATCAAGAGAAGTCAGCAGGCTGGATTTGGGCTGGGCTGGATTATAATTTAAGGGCCCAGACGGATTTTTAAAGAAGCTGGATTTTAGGTGGTAGAAGATAAGATAACTTATGGTATTTGAGTTTGATTTAAGTTAGGAAGTTGAGAGTTTTTAGGAGGAGGTTATCTTTAAGATTTTGTTGGAGATAAGGTTAAATAAAAATTATCGGATAACTGTCAAACAACTGCCAGACATGCAATCATACTACCAGATCATGGAGGAATAGTATCGAAAATCATGGAGGAAGTTCCCAGCACTGAAGAAAATAAAAACAGAGAGAAGAGAACAGTTCAGGAGGCTTGCCCAACAGACATACATTGTCCAGAACATGTTTTTCAGCTTTCAGACTGCATTTTCCAGATTTCAGCAATAGTTTCTAGATTTTCCAAATTAGTTCATAGCCTTAGCCTAGGTTTGTTCATTTTTGTTCATATTTTCTTCCGCAAATTCCAATTTAGATTAATTTTTAAGCATTTGGAAGCAATTTAGCCTTTAAAACAGGTTTGCCTTTTTCGGTCAGTTCTTCTTCTTTTTATGGATTTAGTTATGTTATTCGTTCATGCAAATAGGTTGAATGTTTTCTACCTTTGTTCTTTTGTCTCTACACAATATTCAGACATTCAGTTTATTTAATTTCAATTTCCAGATTTAATTTTATAAGTTTTCAGACTTTAATCATTTCATAGTTTCTTCTTCAGTTTTAGTTATCAAGTAGTTTAGTTATTGTTATTTTAATTCTGCCAGTAATTAGTTTAATCATTATGGGCTGCGTAGTTGAAATCATTGTCTGTTATTTTACTTTTTCTGTTGTTTGCGAATTTTATCTTTATGGCATGTTATTTTCTGTTATTTACTTCATGTTAGTTTAATTGCCTTAGGATATTGCATTTATTTTAGGATTTGTAGCTTTTATTGCACTTGTTTGGTTGTGAAGTCCTTGAAGGTTTCCAAGGCAATTAGTAACCCATTTTGCAGAACTCTACCCTCTGTTTTGCAACATCGTCTGGGGCGTAATTCATTTCACAAACGTTCTTTCCAATCATCCTATTGGAGGTCGACCATTGGAAAGGAGAAGGGTCGTCTGGAAAATTCAATTTTCTTGTTTTAAAACAAAGCAAGTGGCACGCCTAATAACTAAACTCACATGGTAAAGGTCGGCTGAGGATTTTTGGGGAAACAATCCTTTGTTGGCACGCCCAGTGGGACTCGAACCAGCAGGATGTATCAGTTACAGTTCACAAATCCTCTGTTCATACATTCAAAGGCGTTTGGAGCCATGCCACCGAGAAAGAGCAAAGATAAAGAGGTTTAGCCAGCCCAGGCTGAACATGCAGATGACAGTCCACTCTACTCTGAGGGTGAAAATGATCCCTGGCAGAACGATCCTATGGGAATCCAGTATTTAAGGAGAAAAAGCAGACCATGGGGGTGACTTTGTTGAATCAAGTAATGTGATTAAAGTAATGACTGAACATCTAGAGTTGGCATTTAAAGAACAGAACTAGGCTATGCGGAGACTTGTTGAGAGTCAAGCAGAATTTTCCAGATGTCAAGAAGAGACAATTAGACAATATATGTTTGAACTGAGACGGATTTTTGAAAAAGGCACTAACGTGATGCGTGAAACTGGAGATGAGAGTCGTAGAACATTGCAGGCTGTTTCAGAACAAGTAGTTGAGCAAGTGCGACAGCCCAGACCTGAGATCCCTCCTCCAGCCGTTGAAATGCCCAAACAGATTTAGGAAGCCCCAATCCCAGCACTCGGGGGGCAAGGGAATCAGCCTCATCCCAATATTCAACAGCAGCATTTTGTCATTGGTGAAGGGCAAAGACAACACCAATTGATGGAGGCTGCTACTCCTGTTGCAGACCATGGCCATCAACCTCAGTATAGGTATATTTCGCCAGCTAAGAAGGGAAATGTGGGTCCTCATCATCAATCCCATCAAAGGGACTTTTTCCAGCCACAAGTTCCACTAGCCCAACCGGTACAGCGTGGTCTGTAGAATCAACCAGCTCAATTCTTCAATAAAGACCATGGGCCAACCTTGAGGCCATTGGAAAAAATTGATAAGGGCATCCTGAAATTTCCAAACAAAGCGAAGGAAACCATGAGAGTAGATGCAGATCCTTTTCCACCTATGTTTGTTGGCGTGAATGTTGCAGACCTGAGGAGTGTTGCTAGAAATCGTAGTCTACCTTATGAATAATTTTTAATGAGACTTGAAAAAACATTTATAACTTTAATTATTTTTCTACCATTTTTTTCTAAAAATGTTTTGTCAAAGATAATGGTGCATTAATCGTACTTTTTTATATTTAATTTTCATAAAAAAATAACTTTATTTTTATCATTAATGTCATTCATATTTTTAATTAGATGATTTATAAAATTAAAGTTACTTTTTAATTTTTTGAGATAAATTAATTACAAAAAAAAAAAATATTATTAACTTATATCTTTAAAGCACACCAAATTAGAAATTTCCTTTATCAAAATAAGTCATTTATTCTTACAAAGCTCTTTTTTTTTTTGTATTAACTTCACAGTATTTGATAGTTACATTAAATCTCGATTAATTTAAAATCAATTTGCATTGGACCCCATAAGGGGAAGCTCTCATAGTGCATGTTTCTCTATTCACAATATTCGAATTTGAGATCTTATTTAAGGGAAATCAAGCTTTTTCCACTCGGAACAATAGGACATTGTTCAAAGCTCTAATGATTTTGAATGTAGGAACAATCAGGATGGTCATAGCTAAGAATTTCAAGTAATCCAATCCTAAATCATTGATGACCTTAATAGTGTTGGCTTCATCAGCAACCGCATAAATCTGTGATCTTCCCACCTCTATCCGGGAAGACAAAATGTGCATAGAAGAATATTAGGCAAAACTCCCAAATTGACCCCTCAAATAGGAGGGTAGGGATAGATTTGTTCTCTAAAAAAATATAAAGACAAATTGCCCCTCCAAATTATTGATTAAGGCTAATCACCCATTATTTAACATGTGATGTCATCATACGTTGGTTTTCCGTTAAAAAATGCTTAGGCGGCAAACAAATTTCTAATGTGTGATGACATCATCATTAAATAATGAGTGATTTATTTTATTCAATAATTTGGAGGGATAATTTAACCTTACTTTTTTTACGGGTGAATTTGTCTGACCCTCCTATTTGAGGGGCAGATTTAAGGGTTCTTTCAAAATATTAAAGCTTAGTTTAACAATATTGCCTTGTAATTGTAGTTGTAAGTTTTTTGATCCTTTAATATATTAAAAATATTAAAAATATATTTTATATATTTAGTATTTATTTTAATTAACATTTTATATATTTTTAAAATAATAAAAAGATATAAAAATTAAAATATAAAGGATCGAGG